ACAGTGTCTGAAGACCCTCACACGATAGACGTGAGGTCAGCTTTGCGAGCAACTGTTGGTGCAGTCTTCCTGAATGACTTCTAATGTTCACCGATGCACCAAATCTCGAGAAGTATCCTCACCGCTTCTGTGGCTCCCATATCCGCCGCATACATCAGTGTAGTGCAGGCCTGGCCAGAGCCAGCGGCGCAACAGAGCTGATGGTAGTCCCAGGAGAAGGAAGTTATCAGACCGAACTCATTAGTGGCCTCAGCATTCACTGCCTGCTCCCTGCAAGTATATCATTGGCATCACGTCTGACAGCAAGAACGTTCAAAGGCCCAATAGCAATTCGCGTCTGACTGCCCAATCATCGGGTCCAAAATACCTAGTACAAAGCCAAGCCAACTTTACACAAACATGGAAAGTTCTGATCCAACCCAGTACGCCTCTCCATTCCACTGGGTATCATGTCAACCAACGTCCTGTCCAGAATGCCATCCATGCAATGCCAATACACCGTCCAAAAGCCAAGTATTACCTCTCCAATAGCACAGAACAGCCTTCTCAAATCATAGCAGTAGCTCTGCCGGACATGATCTCAACGGAGTCGTATGAGGTGATGGGGCCAGAGCGACGACGATGCTCGCGCTCCTAGCGCTCGGATCGGGGAGTGTTGGTGGGGATTGCAGGGGCCGTGGCCGTGTCAATGACGGCACTGATGGAGCTGACCTGCGACTGCGAGGTGGGGAGGAGAGAGACGTCAGTCCAGTAGTTCTCGATTTGCTCGTTGGTGTTGTTGCGGGGAATAGTAGCCATGATGTTCGCCTCGGTGACGATGTAGTTGTCGGGATGATCGACGGCCTGTCCGACTGTCGCCTCCTCAGGGACCTCGGTGATTTGAACTGCATGAGGAGCAGAGTCAACCTTGTCCGAGTGTTGCATGCTCTGAATCCGCTGTTCGCGTTGGGAGGCAGCGCCGAGGGTGCGTCGGTGCTCAATCTCGCGGGGGCTAGCCGGGATGTGAGTCTCGTTGCAGGCTCTGGGCATAATGGAGCGGCCTCTGCTCTCTTCGTCGTCGTGAACGGACCTGCGGAAGCGGAACATGAGTATCCAGATGACGGAGGTGAATGCGAAGAGGCAAAGGCTGATAATCTCCCAGATTGCAAGCCAGAAAGGGGTTCTCTTGGTGAAGTACTGAATAGTAGCGAAGATGGTCGTGGAGACGGTAAAGTTGATGAGGAAAAACAAAGCGAAGAGGGTGCATCCATAGAACATGTCCTTCTGAGTGCTGATGCGTTGGTACCACCAAGTCTTGGGCTTGATAGCACTGTTTCGTTTGCCATGGCCGCTGCGGAGGCCGAACTTGAGGAGTCGACGGCTCCAGTCGAAGAAGTTGCCGCTGCGATTCTTGCGAGGCTGAGGAGCATCGGGGGCCGGCCCAGCGGGGCGGAAAGGGGTCTCGACCAGCTGGGGGAAGTGGCGGATTTGGTGAGGAGTGTGAGGCAAGTGAAGACTGAGGTTCGCGGGATGAAGAGCAAGCATGCGAGCGTGGGGATGGTTGATCTGAAACTCATCAAGCGACTCGGTCATGCTGACTTCAGGAGGATGGCTGTGTCTGACATCCAGCCACTGCGTGGTCGAAGCCGTCACGCTGCGGGTCATGGGGAGCATGACGGAGGGGCGTGGGGTCGCATTCTGGAAAGGCCAACGAGGAGTTCCCAAGGTCGCGTTCGAAGATCTGGGGACCGAGAGAGGCTGTCTTGGGAATATCATCGACTCGCCGCGGACGTTGGTGGGAGTATCGTCATTGATCTGCAGATCCGAGGACTCGGTCGAAACGGGCGAGGGCGGCGTAGGGGTCGCAGGACGAGGCTCAAGCTTGTCCTCCTTGTCGGACTCCTCAGAGACGCTGTCGCAGTTGGGATCAACGATTTTCGGGGTCGCAGGAAGCTTGAAAGACGTGAACTCCTCAACCGAGGGGTAGGCCACGCCCTGGCTAGCAACAGCGGTGGTGGCCGTGCTGAAGGAGGCTTGGCCTGGGAGAGGAGACATGATTAAGATGATGTTATCGTGATACCAAAAGAATGTAAGGATTGACGTGCGCGCCTTGTGAATGCGGACGCACAAAAGCGAAAGACTGAAGATACTGGCGATCACCAAAAGAGTGTGTTGTGAGAGAGTGAGGGTGGTGAGAGGGAAGAAGAAAGAGCGTGTGGAAGGCAAAGTCGAAAAGGAAGGTGGGTGGTGAAAACTCTTTTGCCCTGCGTGGGTAAACAAAAGAAGTTGAGGAAGAAGTGTGTACTCTGGAGTTGTTCAGAGGAAGGAGCGACTTGACGCGAGGCTGATGACGCCGCGACGTTGGTACAAAGGTGAAGACGGAGGAAGGAGCGAGGCCCAAGTGCTGAGGCGGGTGCAGCCCAGCAGAATTATTCCATGATGCAACTAGTGTTTTTTACATCACCGTCATGTAGAAAAATGAGTGGACTGGTGTATAATACAACCAACAGAAGATTCGGCAGTTGCTCTTGAAGCCACTGTCTTGACACAAGCCAGAGACTCGGCCCCCGACCACAAAAACGGGTGAAGTGAGGTTATCGCGAGGAAGGAAAGGAACAGGCCGCCAGCCCGGACGCCCCCCGATTAATATTGCCGTCCATTGACTCAATTCCAAACCAACGCTGGAATGTTTCGTTGCCCACAGCAATTATCCTACGTTCCACGCCTCTGCAACAGGCAAAAACGGTGCAAAGTTTTGTTGTCGTGTCTCAGATACTTTCCTCCAAATTAGGTCAAGCCTCGTCCGTCAACTTCGGCTACACGACGTTCAGAGGTGCAACCCACGTGGTGGGGGCCGGTGATCGGCACAGATCATTGAATAATGGGTCGACCCCGGATTTTTGAACAGACGCATGCGGCCTTGGGTTGGTTCTTTGTTTACGAGATTGCGGCGGAGGAACGTATGGTGGTCTGAGGCATGTTATCGGTTGAGTCGGGATCTTGTCAACAGAGCGGGCCGAGATGAAGAGGAATTGCCGAGCCCAGGCGGCGCAGGTCGGATGAAAACAAGTCTGTTTCGGCAAGAAGTAGCGCTCAGATTAAGACTGAGGCGTTGCACAAGGCTTTAAGATCGAGGCCATCTAATCTCCACGTGTTTAATGTCCCATCTGTAAGGTGTTTCTTCGCACCGGTGGTAATGTTTTCCAGCTCAGAGAGCAATACCTAGCGAAATGTGGAACTTGGAAGTCACTTACCTGCCAGGCTGACAATTGCGAAAGTCTTCGTCGCCGATTCTGCGCTTCCGAGACATAAAAAAGTCAAGCAGAAGAAGTGGCATCAAGCCCGCTCGATGAACATCATCGTGGATGCGTGATGCAGACACCAAACGGAGATGCCCCGCACTCCCCCGGGCGAACCCCACTTCGACGGCACCGGCGCAGATCCGGGTCATCGGGTGTCCAAAACGCGGCCCGAAGTGCTTCTCCTAGCGTTTGCGGGAGAATTTATATCAAAAAACCTAAGATTCCTCGAAAGAATATCGAAACTTGGACCTCAATCCGTGTGATTGCAATGAGGCTCAGCATTTGAGGGGGGTTTCCTGCAAGCCAAATGATGAGTCAATGACATCATCCAACACCGACGCCGTGATGTCACTCAACAATCCGACGCCGCGTTCATCGAGGAATGCTTGTGAAAGTGCACCTGGATTTAAGTACTTCGCAATGGCCACGCAAAGCAATGTTCATGTCAGTTTTGTCAAATTTTCCGCAGTCGACATCTCGCACTACGTCTCACCATGCATGGACCGAAATCTACAACGATCATTCACGAGAAGGAAGGTGCGGACGGCTACGGCCCCGCCTTCGCGACTGCCGTGCCAAACTGCCTAGCCACATACCGCCGACCCCCGGCGGTGAACGCGGGCAGAACAATCGAGGCGGCCGGTGTGGCGCATGCCAACTTCGCGCCGTCAGCTGGAAAGCCAAAAGGAAGCGAGGACTACTCGGAGAACTTGAGTGACTATGTAAGGCTTCAAAATCACCTGCAGGATTGAGCTAACTCGTATCAGACTGTTCTGCAACAACATGTCCTTTTCTGGGATCGCGACAGCGACGGCATCATCACTCCCATCGACGTCTGGGTCGGCTTCCGCGACCTGGGCTTCAACATACCGACTTGTCTTCTGGCGTGTACCGTGATCCCGTTCGCGTTCTCGTACGGCACCGTGATGCAGCACTCATACCTGCCCGACCCGTTCTTCCGGTTGTATGTTGACGGCATGCACAAGGCGAAGGTAGGCCTTCCTTTCTGCCGCAAAGAGGGTATGTCTGACTTGGACACAGCATGGCTCCGATTCGGGCGTCTACGATAGCGAAGGTCGCTTCGTCCCCCAAAGATTCGAAGACATTTTCGCAAACTGCAGTGCGAGGAAAGATAACACCTTAACTTTCAGAGAGGTCTTTGACCTGATGAGCAGGAATCGCTGTGCCGTTGACCCGTTTGGGGTAGGTCATCCCGAGATGCCCATCAGTCAAAGCTTCGCGACTTACTCTGTGATTAGTGGCTCGCTTCCTTCTTCGAATGGGTCACGACATGGATGCTGCTGGCCGACGACGGAAAGGTTCACAAGGAAGATCTGCGGAGGGTATACGACGTAAGTCTCCGATTGAGGCGTTCTCATCCACTTCTGACTTAGTGCTTCTTCAGGGATCGTTGTTCTGGGACATTCGAGAGAAAAGGCGCTCTGGCGAAGGTTGGAAACAGGGATGGGGACTCGGTGGCGATGGCTTCATCGGCTATCGGAAGAGGATTGGTATTCATCTGTAAGGTTTGGCAGGCCGCCAGAGCCTCCTTGAGAAACAGAAACCTGATAGACCGACGTGCGGCGTCACCTGGAGCGCGTCATTTGATTTCCATGCCATTCAATTCTGATCCCATGCCAACTATCGACGCCCAAACCCTGATGCTTACACATACCCAGTACCCAGACTCCAAAACTCCAAACCCCCCCATTCGTCACCTCAATTCTTCTCCGCCCACTCTCCCTTCTTGTAAACGTCGCCAGTCTTCAAGCACTTCGTACCCTTTCCCTCGGCCGCAGCCTGAGCCCGCTGCGCCTGCTGCTCATTATTACTCGGCCGTCCACTGACCAAGTTCATCTCCACGTCCGCCCGCTCCAGCTGCCTCAACACCTGTGCGCGGATATTGACGTGGAAGAGCACCTTCTTCTTGTGCTGCACAGCCCACACAAACATCACGATCGCGCCTACGAAGCCCACCGCGCTGCAGGCCATCCACGCCCACCACCCCGCGCCCATCTCAGGCTCCCCGCCCCGACCGCCGTCCGCGACGACCACGATGATGGACGCGAGGAAGCTGACCATCAGGGCTATGCCGACGAGCAGGATCGTGCGGTAGGTGGACTTCTTCGCCACGAGCCGGCCGTTACCCGTCTCGTCACCGAAGGCTCTAACCCGGTGCAGACCGAGGATGCGGTCGAGCTTGTCCCAGAAGGTGGTCTTTTTCTTCTTGTCCTTCTTGGCAGGCGTGGTGTTGGTGGCGTCGTTAGCCTTCGGGGCTGGTCTGGTCCGAATGTCGACGACTTGCAGGTGGTGAGGGGACTGGATGTTGACGGTCTTGACCGGGGGGACGTTGCTGCTGGAGCCCGCCTCCGGGTCCGTGTTCTTAACGCGGATGGAGGGGATGTTGGGGTCTGTCGAGACGATGTTGTCGGTTGCAACGGCTGGTTCCGGGAGGGGCCAGTCTTCGGCAGTGAGCTGGAAGGGAGAGTTGTTTGCGTAAGAAGTGCGGTTGCGGCGGGGGATGTTGAGGGGTTCGCAGGGTGGGAAGGGGTTGGGCTTGGGCCGGCCGTTCTCGAGCTTCATCATTCGCTCGGCGAGTCTATTCATGCCGGCGTTGACTTTGGTGGGAGCCGGAGGTACCTCAGAGCCGGTGGCCTTGTTCGGGTCGGTGGTCTGTGAAGCGGTGGGCGCGTCGTCGGTTTTGACGTCCACATCCTTGGCGGCCTCGACTGGGGTATCTTGAGGATTGGCGGCCATGTCGACCGCGGCCTGTGGCTTCCTGGGGGTTGTCAGTTGCGTCGTTCGAAAAATCAGAGAAGATTGAATTCGCTGGGATAAGGGGACACTGATGGTATTGATGGAACAACTCACGGGGACTGTTGGCTGTGGGCCATTTTGTAGGCTTGGTCTCCTTTGATCGGCCTGCTGCGAACAATGCTTTGTGAGCTTCCCTGGGAGACAGTCCGCGACGGGGTCAAAAGGGCGTCACACCAACGTATGTGTTGAGACAATGCGAGGGAGTGGGAACAATGCCTCGATGGAAGGTTTTCGAAGTTCCTTCAAAGCTGCGATGTTTCTTGATGGGTGGCAACGGGAGTCAACAAAAGCTCTCTATGAGATTTCGAGGTTTGAAGTTGGAAAGAGGGAAGAGAGGAGAATATTCGAAATTGCTTTTTGAGGGACAGGACGAGAGGTGTCACATGACGCCCCAGCCGCCATGGAAACACCACGCTCTAAAGTGGTGGTGCGGCTGTGTCATTATGGTCGTTGATATCGGAACGCGGCTTGATGCCATCGTGGTGGTGTTGCAGCAGACAGCTGGAGCTGTGAGTGAACTTGGGAAGTCCAACTAAGGTGGGGCTCACCAAAAGGCGTGGTCTAAAGGAATGGAAACAGTCAGTCAAGATGGCTTTGTTGACTGGAAAGAGTCCAGTCAGAACATTGCAACACATTAAAGGATATGAGAGAATAGTTGAATGAAAGGAGCTTCAATGTTGGTTACACCCAATTGTCAAGTCATGTCCTTTGTAGAGAACCTCTCGATGGCAACCAACGTATCATTCCAGAACTTGACAGCGACTTCTTTTCCATTTCACTTCTTGAAGGTGATGGGAGCGATGGCGAGACTGACAAAACTTTTGTTCATGATCAGAAGCCCAGTACAGTAAGGCTGGCAACGATTAGCAGGCCGGCCTGGACCACCATTCGCGAGTCTGCCGCCTATGCATGCTGCTTCTGCAGTCTATCCTCCAGGATACAGTGATAATGTCTCTTCAACGTGTCGAGAGAGAAGACTTTCTCTTTAGACTAACTCTACCTCAGCCGTTTCAATCCTGAAAGACAGGCCAACCTTCGAGAGACAAGGCAATCACATCTTCAGCCATCCTCAATATCACATCCGACCCAGGCCAAGGCACTTCTCACACCTCCAACCACGACGTGATTTGCTCGCACGTCACTTTAGATACTAAATCAACATCCACCACAGGATCTTCGGCCATCCGTGGGAGTCGGCCTCCACTCTCACGCCCCTCAATAGACCCCACGTCTCGCTGCGAGAACCCGCTCAAGCGGGGGCCAGCCCACTCAAGCGCACAACTTTCATGGTCGTCAACACCGGCAAGATGGCCGAGCGGTCTAAGGCGCTAGCTTCAGGTGCTAGTCTAGAAATAGGCAAGGGTTCGAATCCCTTTCTTGTCAACATACGAGGCGTGATGCCTTTACTTTTTGTCGGTTGTTGGACCTTGTATTCTCTGGTTTCAGCAGCAGTACTCCTAGCGTTCATTCGGAAGCAACATCATTGAGGTGCTTGTTCTCGCCGGTCTTCAGCAATTGTTTTGACGTCGTTGGGGAAATCAAGTCAGATTATATAAACTTCCTGACCAATGTGATTCCATGATGAAAGGTTTTCCCCAGGTTTAAATCAAACTCAGATTGTATGTCTGACGGTATCTTCACAGCATATGATGTTAACATTGAGTGCCTTACTTAAGATACATTCACATTACACTTTGCGCAACCTAGGATTTGATTTGAACTTCGATTGATATCCGCTGTTATGATAACAGTTTCGCCGAACGTCTGTCTCTTCCCGTCCTCAAGGCCCCTAAACACTTTCTATCTCGATGCCTCGATAGTCTGCGAAGTCACCGTGACATCAGAAGCCTCCTCCTCAGGTTCCGTCTTGACCCTCTTCGCTTCTCTCGATGTGTCGTCTGCCACCCGCTTCCTCTCCGCGGGGCACAAAGACGGCTCCCATGTGAATCCTTCGGGCGATAATGCGCACAGCACCTGAGAAAATGACCAAGTATAGTCCACCGCCACCAATGCCGCTACCACCGCCGGATGAGACTCCTTAATAGCATCGCACAGCAACATCAGAAGAACGGGATTACTCTCCGTGGGGCAAAGGTCGATACATGTTTTGCTCAGCCACATGCGAGCCACATATAGCTCCGCGTCCTCGATCTTTGCCGGGTCGGTGTTCGCGATGCACCTCATCTGGGCGGCGATCATAGCCCGGGTTGGGTTGAACCATTTACAGATGACGTTGTACAAGTCCCTGGGGCAGCCGCCTGGAACACAGCTGACCGTGTACCCCTCGTGATCTGCGTGGTAAAAGTCTCTCAGAGAGGTGAGCTCGTCGTGGGCTCCCAGCCCGAGTAGAATGACGTCGGGAATGGACTGGATGATGGTGTTGTATGCCTGCGCCCGAGCCTTTTCCCATATGAGACAGTCCAATCTGTTTGAGGGTGGTCCGCCGTCTGGCCAAGTTACGGTTTTCCATTGCGAAGGTGTGAGATGTTTTCTAATGGCTTTCTGCCATGCCGGGAAATATCTTCGGTCTTCCAGATTTGGGATGTCGTTGGACATGTCGATAGTGCTTGGATCCGGGGAAGGGCGTTTGGAGTCCTGTCCGGATGAAAAGAACATAGAGAAGTGAAATAGCCGCGGACTGCCGACCATCACTCTTTTCTACCTCTTAAGCCCAGCAACACCACTTGCCGGGGTATGAAAGCTATCGGAAGGCTCTGTTGTTAATACTATTGAAGGCGCGTACTAAAGCACCATAATACTGTTTCAAAACCCTAGGGAAGCCCCCAGGCCACGAGTAGTCTCCCTCCATCTCCCTAACGACCGAGACAAAGGAGGCGCCGGAAACGTTTAGTGGCGGCGAGCGTAGCGAATAGCGTCTGTGGCTCCAAGCCTCTACGTTGCTAACTATACAACCAAGCAGACGTTGAAGATAGGTAGAAAAAGGGCGCGCTAAACCCCTATGTCTCGGTCGCTGAGGAAATGGCGAGTTGGCTGGCTGGGGAACAGGTGGCAAGTGAGAAAGAATTCTGCGTGGGTCCCCCAGCGCAGCCTTGATTCCTCTAGGCGGCATCAGCACATTGAAAAACAGCGCAACATTCAAAAGAAACGACTGTGTTATTCCAATTACCTTTTAGTATGCGCGCAACAAGACAGACGTCAAGTCTGGTCGCCGTCCTCGACCTTAGTCACTGGCTTCTCCCTCCCTTGTCTTCCTTATCTACTATCCTTGTCTTCCTTCCTCATCATCCCCCCTCGTCTTCCTTCCTGAACTTCATCGTCCTTAGCGTCTGCTCCCATACCCCTGATTTATCATGTATAATCGTCGGAGGATATCGATGACGATAGGACCCATCATGTGCATCTCTGAGGCCCTGGCAGCTAGTTTTCAAGTATTGCGATGAGGCCGTCCCATGATAAATCCCAGTTGTCGCCCAGCTCGTTCGGAACCAGCGCAGGGGCGTACACCTCCATGCCTCTGTATAGAAGCAGGGCCAGAATCTCATTTGGCGCCGTTGGATCCTCAACAGCGGCGATCTTGACCAACTTTGAGAACGAGGCGAAGTCCTTTTTGGATTGGTAGATGCGAAAGGGTGACGAAACCAGGTTCGAAACGTGGATGGCCCTCTGCGAAATCGATGGGGCGAGGAATGTCTTGATGAGTTCGAGTAGTTTATGCGGTTCGTTTCGGGTGGGGAAAGTATAGCCACAATGCCTGAGGCCGTCGATGATGTCTTTGGAGAGGGAGTCGTAAATCAAGTCGAACAAGGCCTCTGGCGGACCGAGAGTCATCAGATACATCAACTCGTTCTCGGAACTCGTAAATCGCACAGGAGCGCCCTGGATATTGGTGTGGTATACTTGACAATACGCAAGAAGCGACGATGACCAATGATGCCAGTCACGACGATCGCGAAGGGCAGGCAAGGGCGGGGTTCCTCCAGACATATCGATAGTATTTCAAGCGTTGTTTTTGTAGCTGAGACTGTGAAGCAAAACCAAAAGCAGAATGTGTTGATGTTGGAGATATGTGGAAGAGAGGAGATTGACGAGGCATGTCGTCGCAAGATGGCGAGAGGGAAGATGGTCGACAAGGTACCTGGTGAAGGCTGCCCAGAGAGATGTTCTTTCCTCCATGAGCATCGAGTTGGTGACAAACTGCCAGTGCAGGTGAAATAACTGTGACGGCAGCAGCTCACATGGGCGAGTGACGAGGGCTGCTCCAGAACTGGCTACAATGTATCACGCTTGCCTCCATTTGAGGGTCAACGCAGCGTTAGTTTCCCACTCGGACGCGGTTGACGTGGTCCTTAGTCTTGTCTTGGCCGTCATTCCTGTCTTCGTCGTCTCCGTCGTCCATGTCCTGCCTCATCCTTGTCACTGCCGCCTTATTCATTTGAATCGGAAAGTGCTCGAGACCACGAATTGAAGGATGGAAGTTGCGAACAACCAAGCCCAATGCAAGCACGCTGTGGCGAGAGATCCCTTCCACTCTTTCACGACAATCGTCATATATACGACGGTGATTCCTCACCTTTGCAATTGCTTCTCAACAAACAACGACCCAAACATCCCAGTAGCACAAGCGCAATGGAAGCGATTCAGGGTCCAGCGGTACTTCAGGTACGCCACGCGCCACACAGCACGGTCCACCGCTGCAGATGTCCAATTAACCCCCTACAATCAACGACCTCGCTGCCGAGACAGGCAGGTGGAGACGCCATCAGTCCTTTCAGTGTGTAAGGTACCGCAGAGGTTCTCCCACGGCCACCCGCGGAATCTTGGGCAGGCTACTGAACGCCCTGATTCAGGGGCAGCCGCGTGCTTGGGAGGGGTCATGCTTGCGCCGAACACTGATTCGACATCATCCTCTCCCCGAATCACCTCATCAGCCAGATTGCATGGGAAATGCCTTCAACATCTGCCGATTGTGTTTCCCATGTCAAGCAGAGTCCAATAAGGCAAGTATGTAAAACAGTTTACCAGGCGGTGCATCCTTTAAACGAGCCATAATGGCAATCCTCGCAATAGCATCGACGCGAGATTTACGAGATGGTCGGCTTGTGAGGAAATCTCCTGTCCCAGCTCTCATCATGTGACACGACAACCCAGGGCGCCCCTTGTCAAAACGTTTATCTCAACTGATATTATTCCCCGACTTTGAGCATGGGTTCTATAAATGTTGAAGTTCATGCAAACCGCCGATCTTGATAAGAAACCAAGGATATCCAGGTGTCTAGGCGCGTAGGCTGCCAAACGCGGCCAATGGGCGGTCAAACTACAGCGCCTGGTACGACAAGGTTCGCAGGGGAAGCGACGAACGCAATTAATTGCTATTGAAGTTGAAATCACGTCAGCTTCGCTTGCGCTTGGTGGTGTTACGCGCGCTGTTAACGCCGGAGGACCTGGCTTGGTTTGACCAACAAGGTAGGAAATCGCCGGTCATTCAAGCAGATTGTTGAACCACGCTGCCAAGCAATGGAAGACATCTGCGTCAAATCAATCCAGACGGCGATCCTAACGAGGGGCTTGCGGCCGCTCTTTGCCCGGGGGTGGTCCCTGATCCCCGATACCAAGAGACGAGTGCAAGTAGAATCTCGATGCGCCCAATTGTTGTCCAGGCCTCGAACCCCGTGACAGTACTGCAATGTGCGACTTTCCAGCCATAGAAATTTAGGTTATCATGCTATTGCTGCGAGACGGCACACCAGACACTGGAAATGGTGTCTTGCGTGGGTCTTTGCAGTGTTCAGCTGTTACACCTGTGACCTAGGTCTCTGACCCGAGTTTTTACGGGTCCAGTACCGACCCGAGATCTCTCGGCTACCGACTTAGTCAACTCCACCTTCAATCCTTACATGAATCACATCCGATATGGTGTAGTGGCCAACATGATGCCCTCTCATCCTGTGAGAGGTTAGGCATAGCCCCGAGTTCGATTCTCGGTTTCGGAATTTGATCTTTTGCTTTTTTGTCCGTTTTGTCTCGTCACTAAATAACGAACGATGGAAATCAACCACCAGTATTGTTGTGGTCACTTCAACGGCAACATGCGCAACGTTTCCCAAGTATGAACAATGTAGATAAAATATGTACCAAGAAGACTAAACTATCCCCAAACTTCCTTCACAACTTGACGTTCGGAACCTCAAAAGTCTGCACCATCTTCGACTCAAAATAACTCCAGAACTTGGTTCCGCTCATCACCGTATCATCCGCCTTCACATACCGATCACCGCTGCCCACCTGCGTCCTCCACCGCGTCACCTTCGCCCCGTCCGTCGAGCCCTGCGTGAACTTGCTCAAGTCAAAGTTGAGATACTGCGCACTGCCCCAGTTGATCGCCACAATCACCAGCTTCGAGTTCGCCTTATCGTACGCCGCAACCACATTATCACTCCCGCCGTCCAGAATCTTCATCCCCTCGCGGATGTGCCGCGTAAACTGCGCAAACACAAAGTACTTCTGGTTCGCAGCCCCCAGCGTGCCCGCCTCGTTGTCGGCATCAATCACTCCCCACCCGCCGCCGTCCAGCACCTGCCAGTACACCCACCCCGTCGGCCGCAGCCACCGGAAGTCCAGCAGCATGTTGCTCACCAGCCGCTCGCCCGTCGCGTCGTTCTCGCCGTACTCGCTGTTCCACAGCCGCTGGCCCTTGCTCGCCGCCTGCGCGTACAGCTTGTCGCGCGCCCCGTTGCCGTACTGGTACCCGTGCACATTAATCCGGGCCACATTATTAAGTGCCGAGCCGAGCCCATTCCAGGTACTCACGGCCTGGTCGTAGTATGACTCGTCCGACGCGGCGATGGTCATGGTGTTGAGCCCGCGGTTGTCGAGCTCCGTGCGGAGGTAGCTGATGATGCTCGCCTGCGTGGCGACGTCGATGTGGCAGCCCTCCTGCGTGCCGTCCGCCTTCCACCAGTTCGCCGTCGGCTCGTTGAACGGCTCGACGCTCTCGAAAGTGATGCCCCAATTGTCCTTGGCGTACTTGGCCACGACGGCCATGTAGACGGCGTGCTGCTGCAGGTTCCAGCTCTGTATGTTCTCGCTGCCGTCCGACGACCCGGAGGGGTTGTGGTTCTTGGTCATCCACCACATGGGCGAGTTGCTGAACAGCTCGAAGCGGTTCGCCCCGCGGCTCTTGGCCTTCTGCATCATCCCGCGCTGGTTCGCGTCCACGCCCCAGCTCCAGCTCGTCGACGCCGGGTCCGCGCTGTTCCAGTCGAGCCAGTGGCCCTCGATCTGCCGCGATAGCATCATCTTGGAGGACACCACCATGCTCTCGCCGTTGATGCTGTTCCAGCTGCACGCGCCCGCGTTGTGGCGCACGATGTTGAAGCCCAGCCCGGGCAGGCTGGCGCCGGACCAGGTGGTCGACTTGGTCGTGAAGAAGATGTCGGCGAGGTCGTCGCGGTTGCCGAACTTGCGCGCCCACCAGGCGAGCGAGGTGCCCCAGCCCTCCCAGGTGCCGCGGTCGGACTTGGCGTCGATGGTGGTTGTCGTGTCGGCGGCGACGTGGCCCGCGAGGAGGGCCACGGCCAGGTTGAGTGAGAAGTGCA